GTGCTGAGCAACTCCAGCTCCTATAAAAATTGATGGGGCTCACATCAAAGTAATGTAGCGGTATCTATCCAACTCATTTACTCTTCTAAGTACATTTACTGGGAGGACATTGTAGGCTTCAGTCTCTAACTACATTCACAGTTTCAAACTTTACACATAACAACACTGTCTCACACTTTCTGGCGTGTTTAAAGGATAACAAGAGACAAGCAGCTTTACACTGCTCATATAATATGCCACCAAAGTACCTGAGAGCAGTCAGACCAACTAGCCTGGCCAGCACTGGCCCAGGTGAAGTGGGTACTGCTGGCAGTTGTTTGTGCATTTCCTTTGCCAGAGGTTAACGTCCTTTTCTAGCAAAAGCTTTTTCTTTGTTTTGCTCTCTCTTCCTTCCTCTTCCTTTTTTTCCATTTCTTCTTCCTTTCCCTTTCTCCGTCATTTCACTAAATTGAGTTAGAAAGCAGATAAACAGTGAAAATGACAGGGCTGAGAAAGAAACCACCTTTGACAGGGCTGCCAGTGAGACAGGGACATCCAAGGGGGAGCAGTAAATATTTCAACCCGGATGACGGTGATGATGAGGGGGTCAGTCTGCCTAGCTGTGCCTCATGGCCCGATGAACTCCACACAAGGCAGGCACGTTGAGGAAGGATGACTGCAGCCTGATGCAGGGGCAGGAGCGGGCTGTGAGGATGGGCAGGGGAACGGAAAGCCTCTCTTATGGAAGGAGGCTAACAGACACAGGTCTGGTTAGTGTGCAGCAAATAATAACCAGGAGGAAAGAGGACGGTTCTTCATTAATAGATTGGGAATGAAAAACAGGAAAACTGTCACTTTAGCTATAGGACAAAAGTTGCTTAAAAGCAAGTGGGTATAAAACTCCTGTGAGCCACTTCAGGCTAGAAATCAGGCAGTGGTTTCTAAACAGCAAAGCAAACAAAGCTCTGCGGAGCCCCTCAGCAGTGTTTTTGGTCACAGCAGCCAGCCAAGTGTTCAGCCGAACCGGGCGTGTTTGTGGAAGGCAGTGCTGTGGCTGCTCCCCATCCCAGGCTGTCCCTCTTATCCTGTCTGCACCACCGTCCACATCCCCACAGCAGGAGCTCGCAGCATGGCATGGCTACCACACAGGGAATGGGGTGGGGGCACCACCGAAGCACTTGGTTTGGGAATGTCAATGGTACAAATGAGGGATAAAATCCCCACTATCCGTGGAACTTTTGTGCACCGGAAAAATGGTAAGGAGCTAGAGGTGGAGGATGACACCAGAAGCGAAGAGGCTGGTGTGAGGGAGATGTCGCAGGCTTTGTTCTGATATCCTAATCAAGGCTCAGCCGTGTGTTATTAAGCAGACATGATTCGATGTTAGACAGTTCAGACATGGGGGATAATCAGGCCAGTCAAGTTCAGACTTTGAACATATGAAGAAGGACGCAAAAAATGTTGCAGTGCAGTCTACACTGTTTCAATTTATTTTCTCTGAAGCATTTGCAAATGAGAATTTTCCTGGGGCTGGAGGACCTTTGGCAGGGCTGAGGTGGCAAAAACCAACTGAGAACAGTAAGCATTTCAACCCAGCTCTCTAAATATAAAAATTATTAATTTGTTTTCATACTTGAAGCTCAGCAAAAATACAAAACCTCAGGGGCCATCCACACTTGAAAGCTCTTTTGGATTAAGGCAGTGTGGGATTTTACACTCCCCAGGCTCCGCTTGAATACTTAAAGTACAGTCGACTTTTCGTCCAAGACAGTTTTTCGTGACTTAATACATTTTCAAAGAGGGGAGTGTCCAGACACGGAGTTACTCGGAAATAACTAACTGCCCACGTAGCAAGCCCTAAGAGCTAGCACTGGAAGTATTTTCAGAGCTCAAGCACATAGCCTACAAGCACTTATTCACATGCTCAGTTTCATGCAGATAAATGTATCTCTCAGGTTTTGTAGGGTTGCTCATGCATATGCCAAAATATTTACAGGATTGGGGCTCTGCTTTGTAGAAAGAGATACGTGCTGTCTCCCTGAGTACCACCTTAAAGAAAAACATGAATCCCCCGATCGAGTGCTGGTGTATCCCGTCATCTCTCCCATCTCTCTGATACCATTCCAGTTGGCTCCCTTGCACTCCCAGATAATTCACACATGTTTGCTGATATACAAACCCTACAGCACCCCTTCCCCCCACGAAAAAGTCAGCCAGCTGTTACAAAATTCAGACATTTCATTAACACAGTTTACTGGCTGATACCGCCAAGCAAAATAGAGACAATTAATAATAATCAGGACTGAAGGGTCTGAGACAGCTTATGAGTAAAGGATTGTATTAGTTGTTTAAAAAGGACAAACTCGCTCCTGCCTGGAGTGATAGGGAACAAAAGGCAGTGATGTATAACCGGGGAGTAAAGAGACTCTCTCCGTGGCTTTTGTAGATTACTGTGTGAATGACAGGAGCGGCAGGAGCAAATACCTCTTTTAATTTGCTCGGCCTGCTGGAGAAGAATAGCAGCGCTTGCCAAGGAAGCTGCAGCTGTGCCCCAGCTCCGTTTAATCACCGTGTATGACTGAGGGTTAATTAGCCGCCATTCTTACCGCTATTTGCTGTTCTAATGAAGATTTGCATGAATGTAAGACCAGGGGGTAACTGATACTTGATTTTTCCCTTCGGAGAGGCTGGGGGTGGAAAACTCGCCCATCCCGAGTGTTTATGTTTGTGGAAGATTCAGTGTTGCCTTTCCGTTTGACCTGATATGCTTCTGGCTGATGTATGGTGAACAAAGAGTTCAGAGTTGCTTATCAAATCGAGACCCCTGTTGACTTTCTGCCTTTAGAAAGGGGCAGACTAGTTAGATGAAGAGAAGACCGAGGGATTAGAAACTTACTCCCAGCTGACAGAGAGGAAAATACATATATGCATGTTTCTGTATCTATACACGTACATATATATGTGACACACTTCCATGATAGGTATCTCAGTGATATAGGTATCAGTGATGTATATCTCTGCCTGTCTGTTTATCTATCTATGCATCCATCCATCATGTTCAACCTGGATGGCAAGGAACCAATCATTTGTTAATGATAAAATGTCATTAAAAAAATAATGGGACAGGCAGTACAATCAGAACAAGCTGTAGCATATTAGGCAATACGCTGAAAAGTAAGAACTTTTAAGTTATTGCAAGCCTTCTGTTGTACATTACTAACATTCAAAGTCCACTTTTTAATAAAAAAAGTATCTAACAGAAAACAGGCAATCTCAAAGGAAGGCAAAAATCACTCAGCAGTTCACAGCTACCTGCCATCAGCACCTCATGAGAGGAGAACTCACAATACAAATCAAGAGATTGCATTAATTCCTCAAAAACTCATAGGAAAATTTTAACATGAAGCAGTAATAACATCCAAAACTACTTTGTAATTAAAGAGAACATTTGAAAATGAAACATCATAAAATTGTGGTTTTTTTTTTTACTATGGTCAGGACAATGCTTATGGCTGCTAACTGAAAGAAACTAAAGGGAAGGATAAATTCCCAATTTTAGTATGTTAACTTGTTGCATACGATAATATAGTATGGGTAACTGTTTTCAGTGTTCCTCTTACACACTTGGTCTGCTACAATTGTTGTTTGACTGCATCTGTAAAATGGTCTAAGGGAAAGAAAAAGATTGAAAGTGCAGAAACAGTAAATTTCATGTCACTACTGGAAAGTGGCCAGCTTTCAGCTTGACTGTATCCCTCCAAAGAGAGCTGACCACAAGCGAGCACATACTCATTGCCAGTTTCTCAATCCCAACACAGCTTTGCAGTGTCTCTAGCTCTTTACCTGGTCTCTAAGACACATGAGCAAATATTCATTTGCTTTTCTTTACACTTCTGGCATCAATTTGCATGACTCCCTACCAGGCACCTCTGCATATTTTGAGGTTGACACTACCAGAAATCAATCTTTCAGACACATAAGCAGAGAGCATCCAACAAATCTGAAATAACAGAGAGGTCTTCTACTGCTCCAGCTCTTAGCTGGAAAGAATGTAATGGGTTTTAACAACACATAGAGTAAAAAACCCATGTGAAAATATAAATATTCAATTGCATTTTTGCCCACTTTCATCTTATTTTGAGCTTTGAAATAATTCAATCTCCTGTTACAGCTTTTGATTCAGTCCCTGATTACACAAGAATCTCACATTCTGCCCTTTGCAAAGCAATTTTTAGCCCCGTGGTTGTGGAGAAAAGTTTAAAAACAGGAAACCTACAGGTTTAAAAATTAGATGGCAAATTAAAAAAAATACTGAAGTGTATGATAAAAAACAAACCAGCAACAACCCTCACAACATGTAGACAGATCACTTAATTTTCCTTTAATGATTCTTTAATAATTTCTATATACTACAATTTTCCAAGGCTACAGTCAGAATTATTCACTGGTAAATAGGGTAAAAGAAAGTGGAAATTACTGATCTAGTGGTCAATGGCAGAAAACAAATCTAAAAGAGTTCAGGGAAGAGGTTAAGTGCTATGCTAGTTAATAAGAATGACAGCTTGCTTTGAATACTCATACTGGCTGTCTAGGATATTGAATAAACCTCATTTAAATTAATTTTCATTATTTGTAGAGTCTGTGTTAGACATCTATCATTGTCAGTACTATTAATATTCTTTTCAGAGACCATATTATCAGCATATTTAAATGAAAGCTTTTCTTTTCAATATTTATTAACTTATTAATATTTCTTGGTACTAATATCCTGTTAGTAATATCCAAATTAGTGCCTACTACAAGGTATTTTCTACTGATTAAACTTTTGGAATCAAAAGATTTTTATTCTCAAGTACTAAAAATGCACTCGAGCTCCTGAAATTGTGCTTTCTTTCTACATCATGTCTTAATTTGAATGAATGGCATTTAAAGTTTACATTTTTGTCTTTTTTTAGTGGTAGCTGACCACATTCAAATATGAAATGTGAATGAATGTGAATGTGAAAGTTAATTCGTCTTACCCGGGTTGCAGTCTGTGAGGAGGGAGCAGATGGAGAGGAGAACTTTAGAAATGGTTAATGCTGGGCTCCAGTTGTCTTTTAAAATGTCCAGGCAGATGACGCCTTGGCTGTTGATATTACAGTGGTAGATTCTTGTCCGAAATGTTACCTAGAAAAGACAGCGTGTCTAAGTACAATGGTGTTACAGCCAAAAATTACATGATTATTAAGGAATTAAAAAATTATATGAACTAACATTCTGCTTTCCTGGTAGTACTCTGCTACTGACAGTTAAAGACTAGGCAAGGTAGGGATATTCATAAGAAAATAAAGAAAATAAAGTCTGCCTCTTCCACCTGTGGCCAGCAGTGGTACTGGTTTGTGCAAGGTAAGAATGGGATGCTTTTCCTGAGCTTCTTCTTGCCTTCACAGAATCACAAAATGTGAAGCTTCTTCTTGCCTTGGTCACACTGATCTCATTATTTTTGTACGGGGCCAGAAAAAGCTATTCCAGCATTCATAACTCAGGCCCACAGCTACTTCATGGTTTGAAGGGAGGCAGAAGAAGACAGATTCTTCTGCTGTCTTCATCTGTTCATTGTTTAACCCAACAGATTAAGATGGAAAAAAAATGTGAAGGCATCACACCAGTAACTCCTGGAAAAAGTAAAGTGAAATATCTTTGAGAAAGACCGCTCAAAAAAAATGCTTTTATTTTCAAATTTTAAATTACAATTGAATCAGTAGAATTGCTGATAAATGCCTTTTGTTTGATTTTTTATTTGCAGTTGATTTTGAGGATTTCTGTATCGATTTTATATTGTCTCCCAGGTGATCCTACATGTAACAAACGAAGGAGGAGATCACTTCTTTTAGACTAGAATGATGTGCTTCTGCTTCAAGTTGAAGATACAGGCCTTTTACTGGAAAAGAAGTTCAGCTATAAAAGTGCACTTTGTAGTTCAGAATGAATACTGGGGCTACTGGATAAGAAGGGACAATATGAAAAAATAACCCTTGAGGGTCTCCATCAAAGACTAATTTCTCCACCAGTTCTACTCAAATGACAAGCCAAACCAGATGGTTTCAATGACATGTTCATAACATCTATAATTCAGATGTACAATTTCAGTGGTCTACCTCATCAGCAAGAACCCTGCCGACAGAGGGGCTGATTAGGCAGGAGACAACAGCAGGCAAAGCACATCCCAATTCAAGAAAGCTGTGCTTTTCACCAGAATTGGATGGTGCTAATAACTGGGAGTGCTTAGGCACCTATCCCTGTTCTACCACACAGATAAACCTGCTTCTGGAGAGTAATGGAAACTGATGACAGGCACGCTCCTGTTCTGATTTTATTCAGTATCAGAAATCTCAGTGATTTCAGTGGGATTGAGATCGGGCCACTCATCAGCAAGCAGAAGAGAGGATACAAGTGAAATAACACGGTACCTGGTTTACTTCTATTAAAAAAAAATAAATTCTCTAACAGACTGAAAAATTCTGCCTCTTTGGATTAAGTCAAGCAGCTTTGACAAAATAATGGAAAGAAAAGGTAGTAGATTTCTGGTATTAAACCACTACATTCAAAAATAAATACTTTTCCTCATAAGTACTTTTCCACATAAATCTGGGAAAGCACTTTTGGGCCCAGTGTCATGCACCAGTTGAGTTCTGTAACAAAGATCTCAACAAAGCAAATTCATCAGTTTTTAAATGTATCTATGTCTAAAGGTATTGCCAATTAAAAGGATAATTTAATAGTTTGCCCCTCCACACCCTACGTATTTGTAGGTTCTTTCCAGCTCTTACAGTTGTGGTTTTGCTCATTGTTTTCCAGCCTAAGTGCTTCACTTCAGTGACTTTTATGAGAATTTAAAATATTTCTGGCACAATGAACTCAATTCATCCAAACACTATAGCCAGATGATCTATTTTTCCCCCTTATTAGGATTCCAAGCGCTTTCAGAATTTAGAGTGAAGGAAGCCTTCTGCAAGATCAAGAAATTATTATTTAGTGATAAAACTAAATGTTCGTCTACAAAAGGACGTTATTTCGAACAACGAAGATTACAAATACACAAAAGTGGTAAAGTACCTTACACAAACTTCATGTCAAAAGTGTCCACAAAAGGAGCTGGTGTGGAAGAGCATCCTGTGGATTGTAGGTCAGTGTTCATTAAGTCCCAGGATAGATTAACTCCAGGCACTCTTACACTTGAGATATAAGTGAATGAGGGAATACTTCCTAGCAGGATGTCCCATGACTCAAGCAAACACTTCAGCACCTGCTTCATTTTAAGTATTGTACGCTTACTTCTCAGCACATTGTTGGAACGAAATTTTAGCTTAATTATTTTTCCTGAAGGAGGGTGCTTTCCTATGCTTCCATGATGAAAAATTTGAGTACTTTATTCAGTGATACCTGAATACACTGAGTAATAAGATATATGTGGTCTCACTGAATGCGGAGGAAACACACTGAATCCATTGCACAGATTAAATTATGCCCTCTAAATTATTTACAGATAGGTCAGTCTGAGCTTGTAACCTGCTTAAAGAGAAGGCCATCAATTCGAGCCTGTATTTCAACACACGTTCCCCTGACTTAGCTATTTTTGTATCACTGAAGTAGGGAGACTGGGAATTTGGCAGGAGTCAGAGAGCCACTGGGATGAATGGAGGTAGTTCAAGTCTTTCATGTTCAACACTCCATTCTCATCTCAGGCTATCTGGTGGATAAATGCACCTGGGACTACACCTGTTTGTAGCTGGAAGGCCACTTTTAGCAAATACTTAGATCTGAAATTTAGTTCTTTTTCACTACGAGTACATCTTAAACCTGTGACACCGACGAAGTTGCCCACTCACAAGTCTTGCTGCTTATCACTGACAAATATGTCACTGACTCACCAAACATGCCAGTGCACTTTAAAGTGCCTGCCTAAGTACACAGAGATGTTTTAATGACAAAAAATCAAAGCTTTCAGAAATTCAGAAGAAGCTGTATTAATGACAGCCTTAATATGCTGAGAACTGTGGGCTGACAGTGGCAGGTAATGGTGTTCTTATCCCAAAGCAGCGTACAGCACAACTGGGATGACATACTGCGTTCCTCATCGAGGTATTGCCTCAAATTGCAGCTTATGTGAGACATGCTGACATGTTACTTTCTGGATGTTGTGTTTACCATATCAACATTTTAAAGTTGTGCAGGGTTGTTCCTATTATTTGTGTAGAGACAAACCAAGTGATAATACCACACCAGGGGAACTACATTTTCTTTATTATGCTCATATTTTTACCTTTGTTGCTATTTAAATGGTTTCTATAAATGGTGCACTCTAATTCCATGTATCCCCTAATGAACACACCTAAACAATCCCATGCAGGGGCTTAAGGGAGTGTGTGTGTGTGTGTGTATAGGAGAAGTTATTCTCAGACAATTGAATGGTAGAGGAGTAGTTTATCTTTTTTTTTGAATGATAAGTGTCCTCTATGGATTTACTCTCCTTGATTCTGCAGTTTTAAGAGGGTATCTCATTTTCGTTGAATAAAATTGCAGGTCGGAAAAATGTGAATTACAGGAAATGGGCAAAAATGGGACTATCTTCTGAATACTGTAAGAGTACTATAAACAAGCTTTTAAAAGATAATGGTAAGGAGTTTATATTCAATCAGTTTTGGAAGTAAACAATAATAAACTCATCTGTTTATCTACTATTGAATGTCAAACTCTTCTGAATACTGTAAACCAGAAAAAATAAAAAAACCACTTTACATAGCCTCCTGAGAAGAAAATGAGCTTATTCAAAAGAGGGAGAAAATGATTGGAGACAAAAGAAGTACATGTAAAGCTATGGCTGACTGTTCATTGAGTAAGTTTTAAGACTGAAAAAAGACTGTAAAACCTGGGAAGAGTGAATTAAGATGGATTTCAGTTGAGTGATTGGAGGCAAATGGTTGTAGGCAAGATAAATCACTCCTGGATCTCAGAGTGATTTTGAACACCAGTTTTCCAGCACAATGTAGTCCTAAAATCACTCACTATCTCCGTTTTGCACCTGATGTTCCTATGTTAGGCCTAAACCCAAGCAGCCACCGTGGCATTGGCATCTATATGTCTGACTTCTTTAACCTTCGCTGTGAGATTTAGATAAGCACGTAAAGGCAGGGCAGCTCTCAAAGGGCTGGTCCCACAAACACATCTCATGCACTTTCAGAGTCCACTGAATTCAGTTGTAATTCTCTTCAGAAATGTATCAGGAGGAAGAAATGATTCTCCAGTTTTGCACATTAGCACACAAGGGGTTACAGCGTGCACTCAGGAATTGCTTTCTTCAGCCCGTTTGGGTTCAAACCCTCACCTCTGTTCCTCGATCCTCCCACTGAAGCCTGGTGACTGTGCAGGGAGAGATGAAAGATTCCCAGAGTCAACAGGAGAATAAACAAAACCAACCTCCTTTTGCTCAGCCAACATTGGAAGCAGGGCTGAGATCCCAGGGCTCTCATTCCTGCGGTTTTGGAAAGTTCCTTTCAAGCTCTTTCATTTCTTACAAGGGCGCAATCCTGCATGCCTGCCTGAGATGAAACTTCTGTCTTCCTCTAATATTCCCCTGGAGTTCTGTTTTAATAAAACTGCGGTGGCACTACCTGAAGTGGAAGAAGTTGTACTGCATACAGAAAAGGTTATATATATATTAAAAAATATGATGCCCTTTATGATGTTGTTCGTGGAGCTCAGGAGGGAGTAAGTAGTTCCCATCTCAGTTTGTCAGACTTTATGAGCAATAGATTTGTCTGCTCGAATGGAGAGAATAATAAAAACAAGACCAGGCCTACAGTCTTTAGTCATATTAGAAAAATATTATAAAACAAATAAACGAAAAATATCTATAGCTCTGAGTGACACAATGTTCATGCAATAGCCTTTATGTTAATTAGCATCCTTGAATTTCTTACAGAGTGCACTTCATTTTATCTATACCCAGCACTGAGGCTGCCTTTCTAAGACAGGGTGATCTGTCTCTGGTTTGTATCTACAGATTTGTAGCACGCACATGAAAAATTGTTGAGACACTTAATGGATTATCACAAAAAGTGCATAATAAATGACTGACCACATGATGCTCACTATTAAAGAGCACAATTTAAATATATGCCAAGAAA